GAGCGAGAGAGAAAGAAACATCGATGTGAGAGAGACACATCGATTGGTTGCCTCCCACATGCGCTCCCATGGGGCAGGATCGAGCCTGCTACTGAAATACATACCCTTGACCAGGAATAGAACCCGCGACCCTTAGGTCCACGGCTGACGCTCTTACCACTGCAACCGGCCAGGGCTGTGGAAGGACTTTTGACACTGAATGATGGCTGTCTTAGGGAGCTTGTAAAGACCCTTTTAATGCTGAAGTTTTAATTTGGTGGCTAACCCCCATAATGCTAAACGATATAGAATATTTCTACTAAATATTTAGCTGCAATGATTCTGCTAATTTAGCAGCACAACGAAGAAGTTTGTACTATTATTGCCTCGTATTCATAGTCATATCTTTTTATGAGCAATCCTCTGAATAAATATAAGCAAGAATTTATTCACAGATTGATACAGCCTTAGCCTTTAAAAGTTAAGAGCGAAGCCTTGGCAGGGGTCCAGGGAGCCTGGGTCCCAGGGATTTGGCCTCAGGAAAAGTACTAAATGCCTCTTAATTTGTTTCTTCCTCTGTTCCCTGAGGCAGATGATGATTCTCATTCTCCGCCTCCTGGCACTCACCGCACTTTTCAATGACATATTTTCTTCTGCATTGGTGTTAGGTCTGTCAGCCCCTGGGGCTGTGAGGTCCGCAAGGACAAGGGTCAGTGGGTCTTGTTCCCCGTATGCCCAGATCCCAGCACGGGGCCTGGCACACGGTAAAGAAATATTGGTTGGCTGTTATAATATCAGGAGCAGTGCTCTATACACCCAAGATACTGTTAAAATCAGACATGTTGTTTCCACTTCACAGTCATTAAAAAGGCAGGTCAGAGGTTGGGTGCTCCACAGTGAAACCATTCATTAGTATTTTCTCCTTCTGCTACCAAAATGCGGAAACAAACTAAAAAGAAATCCCTAACGTTCCCCAAGAAATATGGGACACTTCTGAACTTGGACTTGACAACAAATCACACAAGGAACAAACTGAACAAAAAAAGTAAAAGGTTTTTTTTTTTAAAAAAAAACACCAGGCAGCAAATCTTTTATTCCCAGCTTCCGATAAACTCACTTCCTGTTATTCTGCCCAGCTGTGTAACCTACGGGTAGAATAAGAGGTATACTCTCTACATTGACCGAGAAAGTGCTTTTTGATATATATTTTAAGTGAAGAAACTTTAAAATTCATCAATATATATTTTTGCAAAAGCACAGAAAAGGTTGAATAATTTTTAAAAGTACTTTAAATTTTTGATATATCTGAATTTAGCCTCCAACTGAATATATTAATTTCCCATTCCTAAATGAATTCATTCACATAAACGACTTAACACACGAGCCTGGAATGAACAAATGCTTACATATTTAATGCTAGCTACTATTATTATTACATTTATTCATGTGGAACAACTTTGACTTTTCACTATAACCCTCTCTGTGAGTGAATGGGAAGGTGCCTTACTGATGAATAAGGTTTAGGTGCTTTTGCATGCAGCACTTCATATTTCTTGGGGCAACTTAGTATAGGAAGCAGACGACCCCATCTGGAGTGGGAAGATCTGAGTTCCAATTTCTGCTCTGTCACTTACAAAGTCTTGGGAGCTTAGGCAAGTCAGAATCTCCTTGATCCTGCATCAGGGGGCTGGTACTGGAGTTTTGTGGGGATTATATGGAGAACAAAAGATATGCTCATTTTAAAAAAACACAGTGTGGCCCCACGAATACCCAGCGGGGCTAGAAGAGAAAAACTGCTTATTCCAGTCCAAGAGAAAGGAGTAAAACCCAAAAGACAAAGGAAGGTGAATAAAAAGGAAACATTTTTTCTTAGACGATCTTTTTCCTCAATTTTACGTGCAAGTAAATCTTTCCCCCTATTTCTCTCAAGCCTCCAGTATTTTTTAAAACTCTGACTAATTTTGTTTTCACTTCCTTTCATTCACAGATTTCATTAGAGGTCACAGTCCAGTGACCTTCAGGGTCACAGCCTGGCCGGGGTACACCCTCCCCAGCCCCGGCCTTATCTCCGCAAGCAGAGCGCAGGAAACAGCAGTGCCTTCCTGTGGCAGCTCGTTTGCATTTGGGAGCCTGTCTTGACCCTTCCAGGGGGAGGTTAGAGAACCCCCACTTCTGCCCCCAGGGGTCTCAGCCGACCGGGCGTTGAGTTTGTTAGCCTCTGCTCAACTCCTCCCAGGCTTTGTGGAGCCCGAGTTGGACAGCTTTTCAATCTGCTTTTCCACAGAAGAGACCGTCTCCTGTGTGACCAACTATTCAGGCACCAAACGCACGACACTCAAACCAGGCTCCTTGGAGTCCGCACTCGGAAACTCCATTTCTCACGACGGATTAAAGCGTGTGGAAGGGAAATTAGGCGAGTAAATAACTTAAAGTTCACAAATAAAACGAAATCATTAGTAAATATCTCTTTTTAAAGTACTGTTTACACCAGTGTAAGGGATTTGTGAATAAAAGGGAAAAGTCTGATACCAAAAGTGACAGGGGGATTGGATGGCTCAGCTCATAAGTTGGAACGGTTCCAACTTGAGAAGTTACAAGGTTGTCAGCTGGTTTTAGGGGGTTTGCCTTGAATGGCGTGGCTCATGCCAGTGACTGGGAATCAGTCCTTAGTTATTGAACATTTGGCTCCAGTGTTGTGGAGCTTGTGGGGAAACCAATGTTCTGTAATAGAGAGGACACCTTTTGACAACTTAAAATCCTTTAAGGATGAATTCGTCTCTTGGTGCAGATTTATGACTCCCACGATAGAGGTGAGAGCTCTGAAAGCGGTCAATCTTAACACTGAAGATCACATTCTGAGCAGATCTGCAAACTCACTATGATAGAGTGTTGTTTTACACAGGATTAGGAAAACTCTAAAGACCCCTTAAATTCTAACATGGAAGGATGGAAACTATACAGGAAGTTAACTAGATATTTGACTTTCGTGTTTTTGTTGTTGGTAAACCTCATCTGAGGGTATTTTTCCCATTGCTTTTTCTGAGAGCGTGGATGGGAGGGAGAGAGGGGCTGAGTGGGGGAGGGGAAGAGAGAGAAGCGTGGATGTGCAGCCCCATCTGGGGGCAGGAGCAAAGCCACCGTCCAGGTATGTGCCTTGACCGGGAATCGAACCCTTTGGCGCACGGACCGACACCGACAATTGAGCCACACCGGCCAGGGCTTGACCTCAGTTTTGAGTCTAATTTCTGTTCCTTCCACTCAGCATGACCTGGTTAAACGGCTTCATTCCTCTTCCCTAAACAGAGAGTGGTCACGAACCTGTTATCATCTGCTGTGCGTCATAGGGCTCCATGTAGCCGTCGTTCTCGCCTACCCTCTCCGCATCCCGCTGACCTTTTGTCCGTTTGGCATCATACGGGTCAGCATAGTCTTCTAGAATGATGACCTGTAAAAGAAGCAGAGAGGAGAGCCGCTAAGGATGATCATATGCCAGAATGGCAGTGGCATCAAAGTGTCTACTGACAACCCGCTGATCTGAAGAGACATCAAAATCTCTAGTTCTGGGTAGCTTTTGCACTTGATCGTGTTACCACCGAGCTGCACAAACATCTGATTTTTTTGTAGTATCATTGGTTGTCAGCAATTCATCTAAACTCCGCTGATCCCCACAACTCTTTTCACCTCCTTTTCTTCCCCTAAGCAATAGAGCACTTATTTGCTGGGTTAAAGGGTGGCAGGGGTGGGGACTATAGTGCATAAAAACATGCTGGTCTACCACCTTCCCCAGGATCTGGTCTTTTTAACACCAGCAAAATAAGCAAATCATGGTAAGCCAGTCCATCACCCAGGCACGGCTGCATGTCCGCGAGCACTGGCTAGGGAATCAAAATAAGACCAAGATCTGCTTCTTGTCTTTCAAGGAATTTGTAACAGCTCTAAAGGGACAGGCTTTATAACAAGAAATAGGTCAGAACTAAACACCAGTGTGGGCATGCTAGGTTCGGTAATTCACAGGCAGACTTGTTCTCAGAGGCTACAATCAGATAGAGTTTTGATCAGTGTTTGTGTCAGAAAGCACCTATTCTTCTGAAAATACCAAGGGGCCTGCAAAGGTGGTGTGTGTGCAATAGTTCTGCTCTGCGGCAGCTGTGTGACAGAACGTGGGAGGTCAAGCAAGAAGCCCCTTCCCTGGGAAGAAGCCTGCTCCACCATCTTTGATTACATCCTCCAAAGAGTTCACGGAGAAGGGCCACTGGAGCTGGCGGGA